AAAAGGCATGCTTAATTAACAATACAACTAAGTATAAATTTAAGAATCATGCTATGTATAAAACAAATTAGAAACAGGTCTTAAGGATTGCAAAAGTTTTGCTGCAATCATGGAGCTTTAAGCCATGTTTTGAGTGGATTGACACACTAATTTAGAGTGAATGAATGAGCATTTCAAAGTGATGTAATGGCAAAGGCAAAGACCAAACTCCAACTAAGTAGAACTCACAATGAGCCAAATGTCTTTTGCATTTCTGAACAACAATTTTTAAAAAATGTATACTGAGAAAGCACATTCATATCACAGAGTAAAAAGGAAGAAATACAAGAAAAACCTCTATGTTATATTCTGTCCTATACAGTCATAATTCAGAATAAAGACACAAAGGCATTGCAAAATTTTGAATGTTGGTAATATTTGGAGGCTATTACATTTTAGAAAAAATGTCAACAAGAATTGAGACAAAAAATGCTCTGATTACTCAGAAAATATAGTTAACACAAACACTTTAGTCCCTCAAGCATCTCATTTAATCAAAGTTATACATTATAAAGAAAGAGAAGATTTTCCCATAGACACAGTATGGTTATTTCAATTTTATGCTATTTAGAAATCAATAACAACTGATTTCTGAAAAACTATCAAGAATCTATCAACATAAAGCAACTGATTATTCTTCATAAACTAGATCTCCCACTCGGATGGACAATTTGCAATTCAAGTTAAAAAAATTATCTGTAACTTTTTTTCTCCAGAAAATTAACAGATGCAAATGTGATTATCAAAGGAGCTTTGGAGACAAATCTGCCTCCTCCAACTGTCCATTGCTGAACTTGCAACAATGCTGAGGTTCCCAGAGATGCCTGACATTGTGAGTTTTTACTGTCTAGCCTCCAGAATATTTTTAGGGTTCTCTTGCTTCTGCAAGTGTCACAAAGCTGCAAATCACAACTAAATCAATCTTCTAGAGGTGGCTTCGTATCCTCACTTAGGATCCAAGAATTCAAATTTTTAAATGGAATATGGTGTGTAAGGCCAAGAAATTGTCTTGTCTTAGATCACCCAGCTGATCTTCACAATATTTCTGCCGCACTAGACCCTTGGGACAGAGATGAGATTACGGCATTGTCATTTAGACAGACCTACTGCACTGACTGTCAATTTTGGAGGAAGGGTGCATAGTAATTGATTCCCCTCCCTCACCATGGAGAGGACTCTTAGACATTGTCTTCAGGTCCTGTCCCTTCTCTCCTTCACCAATAATTAGCAGAGAATTTGAAAGAGAAGTTCTGGATTTTAGCTTCAGCTCTATCAGTGACTTGAAACAGTTATTAACTTCCATGGGACTCATCTGTAGTCATTTTATTTCTTTGTAAATAAAAACAATAGTTTCCAAATCTGATTATTGGAATCCTTTTGGTACCTTTATAGAAATACAGATTTCTAAGCCCTACCTCTAGATTCAGATTCAGATTAGGGTCATTTATAACTGCCTGGTAATTATAATTGGGGCCCCAGATTATGCTGCTAGCTTCAAAATAAAGCCAATAATCTAATAACAGACATGAAAAATTAGAAAACTGTTACTATGTTGCCAACTCCAATATGCCCAGTTAAAAAGCTGTGAAAACTTTTCTCACTGGTTTTCAAGACAGAAAGTAATTTAAATTGTAACAGTATATACATTTTCTCTCTGAAATTCAGTAAATGTTATTTCAATCCAAATGCAGACTCTAAATGTTTTTATTATTCCATACTTGAGTCTTATGCAAAAAAGTTAGATTATCACTAATTTGAACATTCTGATGTGGAAAAGAAAGGTAAGAAAATGGTCCAAGTTATCTTTATTAAATATATAAAAAAAGGCAAAGTTCCATATTTGGTTGCACTCCAAATCAACTAATTTGAGCAGATGAATCTCTGACTTAACTGGCACTGTTCTTCTGTTTAAAGGTGCAGGTTCATTCAAAAGGGTATCAATATCACAAAATTGTTCTATTCCAGAGAAAAGACAGCAAGAGCTGAACAAAGCCCACCAAGAAAATGTTCAGAAACACAAGTAAAGGTTTTCTTCTCTGACTTTGTCTCCTCAGAATAACTATTAGGCTACAGAAGAACACAAGAATGAAATTTCTAGAAATGCATACAAACATATTTAAATATCTAACTAAGAAGATGGGCAAGTCATAGAGCAACTGACAAAAAGAAAATATGGCAGATGCTGCCCTTCCTTCAGGAGTTCATGGCTATCAAGAGATCTGGTTCCTCACATGACCACCTCAGCCTTCTGTGCCAATGACTGTAGTTGCATTCTGAGAAATGAAATATTCACACCACAATGTGGTGTATCTTGTAATGTCAATAGTTCAGCAGTAAGATTCAACTGAATCAAGGCCTAACCTGTAAATTACTGCAAAATAAATAAAAAGATGGCAGGAAATGGCAGATTTATGATGTTGTCTAGATTTTCTTATAAAGTAGCAGTATTAGGAAAATAGATCTTAGTCATAAAATAATTAACAACCCAACAAAGGTCAAATATACAGAGATAGGAAACAAGAAAGTGATTACCAGGCTGAAGGTGGTCAGGAGAAGGAAAGGAGACATCCAGGTCAAAGGATACAATGCAGGAGATATAACAGATGATGTGTGTATTACCTTGTTTCACTAGAGTTATCATCACCATTTTACTAAATATATATTATATATATATGTATGTATCTTATGACATCATGTTATATACCTTAAATATACACAATGAATTTTTTTTAAAGTAACTCACATGATACTTCAGTCCAAGCAGAAATTCTACTGCAATTCTCTTCCCCCAACTTGATATTTATTTTTTCCTTTCTAAATGATTCTTAAATATCACTGCCATTGTCCAATTCATTCTTCACTTCCTCCTTCTATAGACACAAAATCAGCCAGCACCCCTTCCTCACTGCCCATCCAGATCCATCCGTCTTTTATAAACTAACTCAAGGTCCCCATTCCTCCTTGAAGCCTTTCCAAACGAATTCAGTCCCCAAGGATATAAATCTCCAAATTTACTGCCATGCATTCAGTAAGTCATAAGTCTTGACTTCCTCAATCAGGCAACTATGCTATTCAGAATACTGGAGAAAATGCTTGTATACCAGATCTGTCAGATCTTGGTTGAGTCTTGGCATCTTGCAAACTTGGAGCATTTCTTCTTTGTATCACTTAAAGCAGTAGCTTTCAGACTTTTTGGAACATGAGGCATAATGAAGTATACATTTTACATCACAGTCCATTATGCAGGCATGCGCACACGCACACACACACACGTGCACACACACACGTATATATATTTAAGGAATTTCATGATACTTACTCTTCTGTTTTACCCTTTTATTTTTCAAAAATACAAATACTGATCAGACCTATTAAACTGACTTCACAGTGGGTTGGTTTGAAAAGCCCCATTCTTGAAGGACACTTAATGATTACTATGGGATTACTGTAACATTTCTCTCATTAAAAAAATAATTTTAAAAAGAGTATCTAGCCTTGAGAGTCTCTTTAGCCTGTGTTCCTAAGTTACTTGCTTGTTCAGTCCATTTTTTACACTAACTATGTTTGCCTTTTGGAGTCATCTAAGACAAGTAAATACTTGGAATATATACTATTTGTCATTCTTTTCTCCTGAGCCCTGTTCTCATAAAAATAAGAATCCTTGAATTTTTATAACTCATTTCGCTAAAACTCAAACCTCTATTCCCTCATTCTCTCTCTTATTTTTCTAATATGCAAAGTAGGTGGTAGATATTTGTGGATGATTATCTGAGTCAAAAAAAATTAAGATTTATTTCTCCTTTAAGCAGGCTATTGTAAATTCAGGTAAATACAGTTTCTAGATATTTGAAGAATATGAATTTGGGTAATCAGAATACCATAGATCCTCAAAATGAATGCATCACCTAACTCACCTGGATCAAATGGTTTACTGACCAGATGAGTTGGTAGCCCTTCTGGACTTCAGTT